ATAAACCTAATTACCTCCCCCCGAAATGTAAACTAATAATAATAATAATGAAACAATGTAATCATGTCAAAAAAAGTTGACTTGTCCACATAGAAAAAATACAAGAAATACACGAAAGTCATTCTGTTTAACAAGATTGATTTCATTTCTTTTAGTTTGTACTATATTTAAAGAGTAGATCTAAGATTTTATTTAATGTGTAGAATTTATTATTATCTGACGTGTAGAATATCTCTTCGTGTCAAACGTTTCAGATGTTGAAGTGCCTGAGAGACTCCAAATTGTATGAACTTTCTCTGTGGCCTTGAGTTCAAGATGTGTATTAAATGCAGTCATTATAATAGTATCAAGAAAATCACTTTTTAGAAATTCAAGTCAAATTGCAAAGCCCATAAAACCAATATGAAACAATTTTAAAGTAGAGAAAATTCAGACTTAGAATCCATGACTACATTTCAGTTGCCCTCAGATACAATGTAATTTCATTGCAATTAATCCTTAAGTCTTTCCAGAAGAGTGATAAAGAACACTCACGCCAAGTGGAAAGAAACATCTGGGAAAGAAATGTAAAGGAAAACTCCATGGTCTAAAATTAAAGTGTAAAAAGAACTCCGCTGACTCTCTTACATAAATCTACTGTGATTGGCCTGCAGCAATTAGAGCACGCATCTTACGTTTTTTTTCCAGTCTTATTAATAAGTCTACCCACTTCCCATCATCTGTTTCCGTTTTATGTCCCCAGCCATACAAATCCACGTTCTGACCTAACCTTTAGGTGTAGGTGTCAGATCTGTGGCCATAAAATAATTTCCCTGTGGCTGAAGCAATCCTGCCCACGTAGGGAGGAAACCCACAATTTTGGTCCGTGTAAAATAATCTCTGATGTGCAAGACTATTTAGCTCAATCCTTGTAATCCATGAGAACAGATCAACAACAAAAACAACAACAACAAAACAGATGTATTTGACAAGGCCCTTTTTATATGCTGTAACATTTATTCCAAAAATCTTGAAGAAAACCCTAATTTCTGCAGGGCATTGTTTTAACCAATGACTGTAAGGGAATGACCTGCTTTCTCTGAGCTAATAGGAGACTGACCCAGAAGTGAACTATAACAAGAAGCTTGATTTGGCACTTAGAAAAGAAACTTTCTGACCACGGAGCCAGAATCCATCTTTTCATTGCCAAATTGAAAAAATAAGGATCATAAGAGTTACACAGGTGCTGCTGGTGGGCTAATTACAAGTTCCAAGTCAAATGAGTCTTCTTTGGCATCAAGTCGGTTCAATTTTATGGTGGCTTGGCTCAGTTATAAAAATACATCTTTCCATTAGCCAAAATGCAAAATGTACAACTCAGTACTACACGGAGTTTAATTCACCTGAAGTTTACTAGTTAACTTTGCACCTTCCCAATTAGGTAACAATAATATTATCCAGAGGTCCACAGATAAATTTGTCTTTAATAAAGCTGCCATCAGACTGAATGATGGTTTCTCAGTCTCAGTACTATTGACATTTATGGTCCAGGTAATTCTTTGTTGTCAGGCGCTCCCTGTTAATTATAGGATGTTTAGTAGCATCACTGGTCTCTATCTAATAAATGCCAGTTTTGCATTCCTAGCTATGGCAGTCAAAAATGACCAGTCTCACACTGGTCAGATGGCCGTCATTAAATAGTCCACAAACAATAAATGCTGGAGAGCGTGTGGAGAAAAGGGAACCCTCCTACACTGTTAGTGGGAATGTAGTTTGGTGCAGCTATTATGGAAAACAGTACGGAAACTCCATAGAAAACTAAAACTAGACTTACCATATGATCCAGCAATCCCACCACTGGGCATATATCCAGAGGAAACTCTAATTTGAAAAGATACACGCATCTCAATATTCATAGCAGCACTATTTATAGTAGCTAAGACATAGAAACAATCTAAGTATCCATCAACAGATGAATGGATAAAGAAGTAGATATACACACACACACAACATATACATACATACACACATACACACACACATATACACCCAATGGAATACTACTCATCCATGAAAAAGAATAAAATAGTGCCATTTGCAGCAACATAGATGGACCTGGAGATCATCATACTAAGTGAAGTAAGCCAGAAAGAGAAAAAAATAGTGTATGATATCACTCATATGTGGAATCTTAAAAAAAAAAAGGACACAAATTAACTTATTTACAAAACAGAAAGAGACTCACAGACATAAAAAACAAACTTGGTCCCAGTGGGGGAAGGGGGGAGGAGAAATAAATTAGGAGTTCAAGTTTAGCAGATCCAAACTACTATATATAAAATAAACAGCAAGGTCCTCTGTATAGCTCAGGGAACTTTATTCAATAGTTTGTAGTGGCCTATAATGAAAAGGAGTGTATATATATATATATTTAAATCACTATGCCTTACACCAGAAATTAACACAACACTGTAAATTGACTATACTTGGGGAAAAAAATGTCTCCAGGTATTGCCAAGTGTCCCTGCCAGGAGGTGAGGGGTACAGGGAAGGAAAAAATCACTCTGGTTAAAAACCACTCAACCAAAACAGATATGTTACACAGGAATGCCTACGTAATTTCTGGGGCCCAATGCAAAATAAACATGTGAGCCCCCTTGTTCAAAAATATTAAGAACTCAATGATAGCTGCAGCAAAGCATTAAGCCAAGCACTGGGTCTTCCTAAGCACAAGGTCTTGTGCAACTGCACAGGTCATTAGCTCACGAAACTGGCCCTGATGCTGTATTATTCCACCCCATTCCTCAACATCACGATACTAATAACACACATTTGTATAGTTTATAACTTATGGCAGCCAAGCTCACCATTCTTGGACTCCCCACATGCTTTCTCCATGTAAGTATGAGGTGGTTGCTCTCATTTCCACCTTAGCTCCAAACCATTTATCCACATTCATCCTGTTTACCATTTTCCCAGGTACTAACCTCTTCACTTTCCTCTCATTTCTTCATTCATGTGGTCACTGGAACAGGACAAGGGCATTTATCCTAATGACTAGTTCTCCTTCAGTCAGCACTCCACCGCCAACTCTCCACCCAATACCAAAGAGGCAGGCTGTCTTGGGCAACTTCTTATCTGTGTCCACCCACCTCCCACAAAAGGCTATTTGCATTCCTACATCCCTACCACAGCCCTGCCCCAGAAGACTCCAAAATAACTGACCCCAATCAGCTTGATGAATACAATTCTGCTACTATAACCGTTTTGTTTTGACCAAAAGCTCCCAGTCACTGAGTTCTTTCTAACGTGGTAGACTTTAATGCTTGAATTATATCAGCATTTTGCAGGTAAAGAAACTAAGGCTTCACAAAGTTTGAAAGAAAAACTAAAGCCAGCCAAGGATCATGCAGTAAAATGTAGGATTTCAAGCCATGTCTATTTAACTTCAAATCCTTGAACTAAACCACTGTTCCATAATCAATCAACATTAATAGCGGGTTTCCTAGTATATGTTATAATGAGCTCACGTGGGAAAATAAAAGTAATTTTAAAAGTGAAAGGTATGTGATTATCAGAGTAATCACAATTTCTAATTTCCTATTTATTTAATTTGAAGTATTATTTTGTTCTATATTGTCACTCTCAAATCTAGAATGTTCCTTAATAACTTCTACCTCAAAAAGCCTTTACACTGGCAAATGAGACATTTCTCCTTTTGAGATATACATGTATCAACTTTCTACTAAAATGTTTGATTCCTCTGTTTATACGTGAATGGCTTTTTAGAGGTCCATTCTGCTGAAATAAATTTCTGTATCCTGAACGTCTATTCCACCAGTCATTTGTGGTAAATGCTGACCACTAAATTTAGCCATTGTGAAACAATCCCATGAGAAAAGAAGGAAACATGTAGCATAATGTAATAATGAGCATCTTTGTATTTTTTTTCAATTTATTGAATCTACCACAGCCATCTGTAGGTCACGGGCCCTGCACGGGAAAAACACTCCATGGTCCAAGAATGTGTGAGAAAGTAAAGCCATTCAACATCCAACGTCAGAAGAGTCATTTGTTACAGGCATGTAGCCATTCCAAAGTCTTGAGCAGTTGGGTAAAATCTAAGAGGAAAAGAAATTCTTTTGTCAATTGAAACTGCTAAAATGTGAGAAGCATCTGTAAGCATTTGAGGGAAAGATGTCAACTTAGATCTCTCCACTGCGGCAAAATGCAAAGTTGTTCATACAGAAATTAAACTGGGGAGACAATGGACCAAGCACTATGAGATTTCTTTGAAAAAAATTATTACAAATAATGAAAGTGTGGAGATATATATATATATATATAAAATTATTCACATGACCAAGAAACATGGGAAAGAAAAAAGTGAAAAATAAAGTGATGAAAAGCTACCTATTATCCTTTTAAATATTTAAATAGAGTTTAAATACAGAAGGAAAAGTTCAACATTAACCTCATGGTAGGTGTTTTATGCCATTCATTTTTCTATGAATTCCATCCACTTCCATTTTTCAGAAATTGTTAAATGTCTCCCTCTGAGCCGACGTCCCATTTCTTCAGCATATTAATTGCACTTTAGTTTGCATGGCTCTGGTATTCTAAAAACGTGAATAAAAATACTCCTCCTCTCTTTCCCTCCTTTCACACTTTCACAATCAAAGTTCTACAAAGAGTATTTGGATTATTACTTCTTTAAAACTCCCCTTTTTTCCTCAACCAATTGAAATCTGGTTTTAATCTCCATCATTTCTTACGCATCAATTTCTTTTTAGTTTTTAATTTTTTGGTATTATATTTAGGGGTCAATCACAAAGGCTTTAGTGGAAGTTCCCTAGCATTCAAATCCTGGCTCTGATAGTTACTTTCTGTGTGATCTCACACAAATTATTTGATTTCTCGGAGCCTCAGTTTAGAGGTGATAATAGCAAACAGCTAGGATGCTTATGAAGATTCAATGAGGCAGCTTAAGCAAAACAACCATCATGGTCCGTGGCACAAAACTGCAATAATTACTGATGGTTGTGTAAATATACTGTTATTGCAATTAATAGATTATTAATAATCATTACTGTTGAAACACCCTTGTTCCTCACATTCTAGGTCAGTAAACTCCTGTTTTATTTCCTGCTTCATTGTCTCCTTTGTTGCCTCCTCCTCCTGCTCATTCTTAAAATATTGCAGTTTACAGTGTCTCTGACCTTGAGTACTTTTTTTCCACTCTGTCTGTACTCTCCCTGGCCCCTTTCGTTCCTTATATTTCAACCACCTCCTAAATGCTGATGATTCTCACATTAATATCCCAGCCCTAGTTCTTCTTCTGAGGTCTCAATCTACATATTCAACAAACCAACTGCAGTTCCACCTCAGTGTCCATGAGTTCCTTAAACCTAACACAGCCAGGACTGATCAAATCCTTCTATCTCTCTGCCGCATAAAAAGATTATGCATTGTCCCCTGTCACTATTACAGGGAATGGCATCATTATTCCTCCAGCTACCCCAAACAGAAACCTGATCTGGATGATTAACCATCATCGGAGATTCCTTTCTCTCCAGCAAACCCCCAGACCAATAGATCATCTGAGTCATTCATCTCCCCTTGGACAGCTCATCTCTCCCCCAAGTTCTGCTGCCATAGTTCATCTTTCCATCAGCTTTACCCAGGCAATCAGGCGTTCCTTCACCTGTCTCCCTGTCTCTGGTCTGATTCCCATCCGATCCTCCATCTCAATGGCTGTCAAATTTACTTTCCCAAAACCCAAGTCACATCACATAATTTGATTTAAGACCTTTTCTTAAAAGGTTTAGATGGCTTCTTATCTCACAAGATGGTGCAGCACATGAAGCCGTTTTTGGCCTGGGCTTTATGAAGGTGCCCTCCCTATTTCCTCCCACCTTCTCAGCTCAGGATGATCTCATCTGTGGAACTCAATTCACCTTCATAAGCTCATGTGGCCCATATTCCCCAGCTAGTCCCAAAACTGATGTGGCTAAGAGCCTTCAGAATCTTGACTTTGTAATACTTACCAGCAATCTAGGCTTAACCAAGTTACTGAATCTCTCTGTATCTTATTCCTCATTTGTAGAATCAATATAATAATAGCATCTATCTCATAAAGTCGTTCTGAGATATAAGTAGCACAATTCATGTAAAAGGATTAGCACCATGTGTAGCACAGAAAATAACTCATCAAATACTAATTGTGATGATTATCATGATGGTTTGTGTCTTTCCACTAGAGGATTATTTGTGTATTCTCTGCAAATAACATGCTGTCTGGCACATAATAGTGATTCATTTTATGTTCGTTGAGTATATGAGAGAGATACTGATAAATAAATCAATCAAAAATTTGAGCCAATAAACAGAAATCAAATATTTGGTAGGTGCCCAGTCAGTCTTTCGTGTACTTTGCTATTGCTAACCGTAGGTCAAGACTTTGACAAGTGGTGATGGTATATCTGCTCCTATATGCGTGCTCCTTAGTTTCCCTTTAGGAATTTTGAACAAATATGGATGGATGGATAGATAGACAGACAGTTATGCATTCAAATGTATATTGTCATTCAAAACATAGCCACATGAAGCTGTATGTATTTTTATGATAGTTTCTGCTCAGCACACATTTGGAACTCTTCTTTGGGAACCGCCTTCCAAACAAATGTATTAGTCACAAAACATGCTTTCTATTCCCAAGTGTAGTTTTTGACCAAAAAAAAAGTAGCATTATCCAAATAAATGATTAGCTTAGTTTATCAAACTTGGCTCCAATTGACTTTCGTGTATTAA